AACATGCTCAGTCTGTTTAGGTATTCTGCCAATAAAAGGTTTTAGCATTGGTCTTGAAAAAACATTTGGAACATTTTACAAATTCTCGTCTAGTCAAGACGATTACTTTTATCGTATTATATTTTATTCTGGATAACAAATACTATGTTGATATCTCACCCAAAGGTTTTGGTATTCGTAGAAATGCAGGCGGCAGGTTCCGAAATGCTAGGCGTCTTCTGAATGATAGAAACTATCTTATATTGCAGCATTATATATAGTTTGAAGGTTTAGATAACTTATTCAATGTAGTAAAATCTCCTCGCATTTTTAAGTAGTCAATCCACAAAAAGCTGTTGAAGGGTAGGAAATTGAACAGTATTTCCAGTTATATTTCCAAATCTTTCTTATCGCATTCTAATTTCTTTCGAAATAAAAACATGCTATCGGATCACGCTTTCGTATGAAATTTTGTTTTCGTTTTGTTTCTTCCATCTGTCAATGTCAAATCAAATTGCAGGCGAAGTTAAGTATGGAATGTACATGAATGTATAAAAACTCAACATAAAATCATCTATGAATTTAGTGCGGTTGGGCAAGATACAATAAGACTCACAACTAGGAACTAATTTAAATATGTTATGTCATTTCGTGCATGAGCCATAAATGGTTTAATTTTGAGTTTTCTATATTCGTGAACATCCCACACCTAATTTCGGCTAAAAGTTGATTTGAATTTGACAGGTGGAGAAAACAAAACAAATCTGAATGTCAGATAAAAACGTGATCAACAAGAATGCTATAATATGAGAATACAACCTGAATTACTGCTCAGTATTTTTTCGGTTTCGCAAATGCTATAAAACCGAATAAAAACAGAACGTACAATAAATACAAAATAAAAAATGTGATCTTAGAATTCGTGATTTTGACACTTCTTCCAAAAGTTGATAAATTTTCTTTTCTTTGACCATATAACAGTATTGCAATAAATCAAACCTAAACTAGTCACATCCGCTTCTTGAAAGTACGCATTTACTCATATGCATAAAAAAATGAAACTTTACCGCAATCACAGAGGAAATTATAATTTGTACTTTCCGCTTTCCAATCAATATCGATTGCTAGACTGATAACAACACAATTTTTTTTTAAGATTATTCGTTGAAAATAGCTTATTCAAAAGTGAGAAAAAACTTTGTGATTGTACGAATTTGAAGGCGACTGCCGTATTAATTAATGGGTGAATAGGATATTTCCCGTTAAAGATATGAAAAGACATTGGAAGCAATGCATTACATAAAATACAACAATGTATTACAAATTATGTTATTACGCACAAATTTTACAGCATTTCAGTCGTGACATTTCATCACATCAAGATTGTCAAATATAGCTAGCTTGATTCGCGCTGCAAAAAAAAAATAACATATATTTACAACATATTGTTCATTATGGTGATTGCTTTAGTTATATTTTACACATGTCAAAATCAATTCGGTTTCTACGTTGCGGTTTCGTCTAACCAAAGGTTCGGAGCTTGTAATAATAAAACAATTTCCAGTCATCGTCATTTATGGACTGCGACGAGACTTGACCGAAAAATTGAGAATGGCCAGCGCGTTACGGAGGGCCAACTGGTAGTGAATTGCACAGCTCTTCTTCGTTTTTGAAGAAATACATTGTGACGTCAATTGAAAATTTTTGACATTATGTCAAAATTAATTAACAAATATCTTGTATCTGTATGACCCTTTAGATTTAGAACGATTCAATGTTTTACTTCAACTAGTGTCTGTCCGATTTTTATACGCAATCACTTCCAAGACTATTTCTAGTTTTACGAGTCATCGATACAACGAGAATTTCTGCTTATACAAGTTTTGTAAAGCTTAGAGAAAAATGCCAATCTCAAATCTGCATAGAAATCTTTTTTATCTGTGCTGAATTATTTTAATATCTTGATATAATGTATAGTCAATGCCATTGAAAACATTCCATATACTGGTATTTTTCAGCGACTAAGTTTTTTATTGCTTCTATAGGCAATGTATCATTAATATAAGTTCACTGCGGAAAAAAGATGTCAACTATACGCAATTTATTGCAGTTCATGTTTGACAAGGAATATTTTATCTAGAAGTTTTTCTCATCACATGAAACATATTTACACCTGAATGAAATCGTCGCGATTTCATTTTGCCTGAACTTTTTATGTTTACTTTGGTCTATCACAGTCAAAAGCAATTCCAAGTAACGAACTTACGAATTTTTTTAAATTAATTGACATTCAGGAAGATATCCAATCCAAAGACATACAATACACTGTCTTGCTGATGCAGATGATTCCCCCCATTTCTCTCGTTTTTTTATTGCTTGTATATAATATGACGAAAGAAATGAATATTTGATTTGCTAAATACTGTAGAATTGTTTATTGTTACATATTGGCCATGATCTTCAACTCTAAAATGAATTTGTTTGACTGATTTTTTTTTATAAATTGAATGATTCCAATATATTCATTGGAACAAAAAAAAACTGGTCAGCCTCTTTTGCTATCTCATCTTTTCAAACACCGTTGGATTATAATTAGAAAAGCAACAGATGTTTGTCTTCATCACACATTTATTGCTATGTATTATGAAAATTTGAATTCTTTACTCAATTATATTTGATAACAACCATTAGATTGTATATAACATATTACAAGTTAGATGAGACAATATAATTCACGAAGACAGTGACGAAAATTGAAGTTTTATCTAAATTTGAAAAAAAGTCATATTAGGAGTGAAGAGTAATTGTGTAATAAGTAAACCTTCAATTCTGAAAACAATTCGATCTATTAATTTGATTCTTAGTTCTAATTACAGGTGAGCGAAGCCATATGTTGAAACGTAGATGTAACCCGTTGACATCACAGTTAGTACATTTTACTTTCCAAATTCATCACCTGCTCACCGGGGTGGTATAATTATGGGCAGGTAGAGCCGAACAAGAACAAAAGTGTACTTTTATAATGACAAAACTTAATGAATGTCAAAAAGTTTTTATACGCTTACTTTTCACCAAAATCGTCAGAGCTGAGTGAAATTTCTCCATCATCTACTAAAAAAAAAAAAATTTTTTTTTTTAAAAGGCTCAAAGTTCGCTTCATAATTAGAGCATATGTAAAAAAAATAAATAAATATAAAGAGTGCAAGAAAAAAAACTTTAACTTGTGATTTGGATACTGCTTCTACAAGATTTGGCACATTGATGTGATTTATGCAGGTAGTTGAAACACATAGCAATATTATCTTCAGATATATTTAAGAAACAAAAAAAAAGAATATCATGAAATTTCATTCGCATTACGTACCTGGTGGGTTCATGGTAATTGATCGCAATGACTTGTGTAAAGAACTGAAACATGCTGAACAGAATTGTGAGAAGAATGAAATTTGTATTTGCCATTTTTGATATTTGGTTATTGACTGTGAAAATTGGCCTTTTTTTGAACAAAGAATCATTTTTTACGAAAGAATAAATCTTGTTATAAATATATTGACTGAAGGCTTCTTCGATTATTTGTGAGAATTTCATCTAGATATTATTATGTACCTTAATAGCTTGCATGGAGATCAATACAAGAAATTTATTAAAAAATGTTGGTTAAGGTGCTTAGCATAGGAAACAACTGAAGTGGTTATATATGACACACGGAAATATATCTTGAAAAAATACCTAGTTTACATTTTTAGGTTACTTAAACTTTGTGTGTTTGGATATTCTGTCAATAAAAAGTTTTAGCATTGGTCTTGAAAAAACATTTGAAACGTTTTACAAATTTTCGTCTAGTAAAGACAATTACTTTAATCTTATTATATTTTATTCTGGATAACAAATACTATGTTGACTATGCATTTTGAAGTAGTCAATCATATGAAGCTGATAAAGGATATGAAATTCAACAGTATTTCCAGTTATGGTTCCAAATTTTTCTAATCACATTCTTCATCCTTTCGAAATGGAAGTATATCCTTGGATCACGCTGATTTGTGCAATTCATCGCCATTAAGCCGTTTCCGTTGCGCGTTGGTTTTCCGGTTTAATTTGGTCGGAAATATCAATCACAAATATAATTGATAACGCTGCTGACGCTTTTGAGTTCTCGGAGGCTCCGAGGAGAAGTGAATAGGATCGGAGTAGAGAGTTTTATGAGGTTTAAGTTTGAAAGCTTAAAGGCAGGGACTTGACGATGGATTTGAAAAAATAAATCTTAAAGTGGTGAGACAGTGGGTTCAGGATATGTTTGTAAATATTTGACTTTAAGTAACAGCAACTCGAGCAGCTTATACAGCAAGTTATCGGAGACAGATTTAGTACAACTGTTTTTTCTTCAAATTAAATTTATATATACGAGTATAAATTTTCATCTTTTTATATTTGCTTTACTAGTAACGCAGATTACTGATGAATGTTGTTTAATTTATACAAACAAACATTGACCACGTTTAAAAAAAATTAAAACTCGTTTTATCTAATTTTGGTTGTTGATGGAGACATTTAAAATCTAACGATTTTGGCTAGAAGTAAGTATATGAAAAGTTTGTTATTTATTACGTTCAAACAATTGATTCTTATCATTTTATTCGCAGTACCTTGATGATATAGCTTGAAACGTCATAGTTAGGCATTATTCACCCATATTATTACTACATAAGTGATCTAGAGGAAATGGGTTTTGAAACCGAGATGTCTTACCTTCCACGCCAAGATTGCAAAGATAAATGTTTTCACTGATGAGACATCTGTTCAGCTTCTCCCAGAAGTGCTGCTTGTATTTATTGTCATTCATCACCTTTCAACCGTTTCCAGTGCGGACTTTTCCGGTTTAAGTCCTTAAGTTTCATTGCAGTCGATAAATGCCAACGACTGGAAATATAACTGATAGCTCTCCTGCATATCTTGTGTTTCTCAATCGTTATATATGTAAGGGTAAAGAATTCACCTAAATATAAGTTCGAAAGCTGAATGAGAGATGCGATAATAAATTCGAAAGTATTGAAGTCAAGTCAAATTTGATTTTTTTTAAATCTGAACCTTGATGCTATCGATAATTCGATAATAAGGTTGCCGAGAGTGGTGGTCAGGTTTAAAGGTCAAATAGGAAGAATGCGCTTATTTTTTCAAAGAACTTGTAATCTCAAAAATAGCTAAATAAAATTGTCACGGCTTTTTGATTAGCAAATTATATCGTTATGTCGCTGTATAAATTTTGCGACCTAGCTCAAAATACTTTGATGAAGAGCGTCGCGATGGCCTAGCAGTGAAAGCGCAAGACTTGACCGCGGAATAAATTGTGACGCATTCAATCAATCAAGCTTTAAATATGGGATTCAAAGAAATATATTTTGTTACCAGCGACGTAAGAGTTGAAACAATTAATTTCACGGTTAATAGCACGGTTTCAAAATTGTAGTTGAAAAGTCGTGGCCTAATTTGTTTAAGTTCTCGAAAGTCAGCTATATCCTAAAGAAACAGGTTTTTGCTAAAAATTGACACGTATAATGGCACAAGTGATGACATCACAGATTAAAAATTTCGGGCTCAAATCCCTTCTCCTCCACCTTACCCAGAGTAGAATAAATTGGGTAAGCAATGCAGACCTGGAAAAATTCCGGTTTTTCTAAATAAATAGTAGATTCTTACACATCCTTAGATATTAGTGGATCAACATTTATTGCAACGACATTACTTTGGATATATGTACAGACATTTGTGGAAACTTGCAGTTATAATATTTGTTTAATAAACTGATAATTTTGTTATAAATTAAAATTTAAAAGATCTCTACTTAAAATCAATAGTTTGTTCAACAATGGCTAGTACTTATTACTTTTATTCTGTGATTGCACTGATGCTTTTTACGTTCATCTTCTTTGTGCAAGTTGAAGCGAAACTTGCAAGACACCCCCCACAAGGCTGTAAGTACCATGTATTATATTGTCCATTAAACATATATATTTATTCTATTTCATATTTTTAGAATTCTTAAATATTTTTTTTGAACTACGTAAATACATACGCCTGTTCAACCCACGTGCTGTTAATGCTTGTAAATAATTTTATTGTTTATTCTAAATATTCTGAAGCTTTTATAAAATCTTCAACATCATATATATATATATAACTAACTGGCGTTTAATTTCTCTATTTTGATGATTCACTCCTAACACGGGGAAATTACTGATACCATTTTCTTTGACGATTAAACTTCAAAACATATTTTTATTTTAGTATCTGATGCAGATAATTTGCTCAGCTCCGACTCAATTCACGGATAGTACGTATCTACGATTTTTTGTGTTTACATATTTAGTTAATACAATAAAAATAGCATTAGTATATTCATAATGAAACTGTAAAATTTTGCTTATCACAATTATTTGTCACCAGTAACATAAATATTTTTAATTTCAGGTAAAGCTCAATTTTCCTCATGTTTTATTTTCATTCATTGTGCTATGTCATAGAGCTAATGAATTGGCAGAATATTCTATATGAGATATAACTTTTATTTTCCTGATAATTGAAAACATGAACTATATTAAGTGATTCAAGAGTCTTGCTGCACACTAACACAAATATATTTCTGTAACGTTTCGTCTGACCAAGGTCATACTTCTTCAGACATACATAGTTCAACATAGAAGAAGGATGAGTAGTTAGTCTCGCAGAAACCAAAACGAAACGTTACAGAAATATATTTGTGTTAGTGTGCAGCAAGACTCTTGAATCACTTAGAATTGTTATCTCTACTCTTGCTACAGCATCCTTGCAATTTATGCATACGGATCCATCGGCACAAAAACATAGAAGAAGGATAAGTAGTTAGTCTCGCAGAAACCAAATAATGAACTATATTTATGACAAATTTTTGAAATGCGTTGCCAATAAACCCTGCTTCTTACAATATTACAGGGCGGAATAAATCTATTTTGAATATTTAACTTTATTCTGGCTTTAAATTATTGTTGGTTTTCATGTTTGAAAGCAAATATATACAATAAATGTTAACGTTTCTTGCTTTTTTCAATGGTATTCCAGTAGTATGCGGAAAAAAGGCGATATTACCGAATATTTCCTTCATCAGAAATGGAATAATATGACACTGACAAGAAATTTTCTAAATTTAATAAACATAATTTCAATTAACATATTAGTTTCGAAAAATCAGACAACACAAACCTATGTGAGCGTGACAGCTTGTTTCCAATATATTCATTGGAAGAAAAAAAAACTGGTCACTTCTGGTATCTCATCTTTTCCAACACCGTTGGATCATAATCAGAGAAGCAACAGACGTTTCTCTTCATCACACATTTATTGCTATGTATTATGAAAATTTGAATTCTTTATTCAATTATATTTGATAACAACCATTAGATTGTATATAACATATTACTAGTTAGATGAGACAACATAATTCACGAAGACAGTGACGAAAATTGAAGTTTTATCTAAATTTAAAAAGTCACATTAGGAGTGAAAAATAATTGTGACAAGTGAAATTTCAATTCTTTGATCCATTCCATCTATTAATTTGATTCTTAGTTCTAATTACAACTAAGCTAACCCCGATGTTGAAACGTTGATGTAACCCGTTGACATCACAGTTAGTACATTTTACTTTCAAAATTCATCACCTGCTCACCCGGGGTGTTATAATCATGGTCAGGTAGAGCCGAACAAGAACAAAATTGTACTTTAATAATACCAAAACTTTATAAATGTCAAAAAGTTTTTATACGCTTACTTTTCACCAAATCGTCAGAGCTGAGTGAAATTTCTCCATCACCAACTAAAAAAAAATATTTTTTTTGAAAAGGCTCAAAGTTCGCTCCATAATTAGGGCATATGTAAGAAGAATAAATGAATATAAAAAGTGCAGGAAAAAAAAAGCTTGAACTTGTGAATTAGATACTGCGTCTGCAAGATTTGACACAATGATGTGAATTAAGCCGGTAGTTGAAACACATAGCAATATTATCTTTCAGATATATTTAGAAAACAAGAAAAAGAATATCGCGAAATTTAATTCGCATTACGTACAGCCTGGTGGTTCATGGCGATCACTCGCAATGACTTGTATAAAGAACTGAAACATGCTGAACAGAAGTCCCATCTTGAAAAGAATAAAATTTGTATTTGCCATTCTTGATATTTGGTTATTGACTGTGAAAGCTTTTTTTTCTGAATAAAGAATCTTTTTTTACAAAAAAATAAATCTTGTTATAAATATATTGACAGAACGTTTCTTCGAATATTTGTGAGAATTTCAACTGGGTATTATTATGTACCTTATTATCTTGCATGGAGATCAATACAGGAAATTTATTCATTGATAAATTTTGGTTCGGTTGCTAGACATAGGAAACATCTAAAATTGTTATATATGACACACGGAAATATATCTTGAAAATATTCTTAGTTTACATATTTAGGTTAGATAAGCTTCGCGTGTTTAACCAATACAAGGTTTTAGCTTTAGTCTTGGAAAAATATTTGAAACGTTTTACAAATTTTCGTCTAGTAAAGCCAATTACTTCAATACTAATATATTTTGTTCTGGATAACAAATACTATGCTCACTTATGGTTTCTGGTATTTGTAGAAATGTAGGCTGCAGGTTCCAAAAAAATAGGCGTTCTCTGAATGATAGAAATAATATTATATTCCAGTATTATATATAGTTTTTGGGTTCAGATAACTCAATTATTGTGGTAAAATTCCCTCACATTTTAAAGTAGTCAATCATATAAAGCTGATAAAGGATATGAAATTCAACAGTATTTCCAGTTATATTTCAAAATTTTTCTAATCACATGCTTTATCCTTTCGAAATGGAAGTATGTCCTTGGATCACGCTGATTTGTGCAATTCGTCGCCATTAAGCCGTTTCCGTAGCGCGTTGGTTTTCCGGTTTAATTTGGTCGGAAATATCAATCACAAATATAATCGATAACGCTTTTGAGTTCCCGGGGGCTCCGAGGAGAAGTGAATAGGATTGAAGTAGAGAGTTTTATGAGGTTTAAGTTTGAAAGCTTAAAGGCAGAAACTTGACAATGAATTTGAAAAAATAAATCTTAAAGTGTTGAGACAGTGGGTGCAGGAAAGGTTTGTAAATATTTTACTTTAAGTAACAACAACTCGAGCAGCTTATACAGCAAGTTATCGGAGACAGATTTAGTACAACTGTTTTTTATTCAAATTAAAGTTATATTTTGAGTAAAGTTCAATTTACAATAAAAAGAAAACCTAACAATGGCAAATAAAAATCTCTTTCTTCTTATGACTGGGTTTCTGTTCGTTATATTTCTAATCATCATGCAAGACAATGCGCAAAGGAAATCGCCTGCTGCAGGCTGTACGTAATGGGTGTTACACTTTGTGAAATGCTTTGTGTATATTCGAATGTTTTCTGAAGATTTAAATGTTTTCTGTTTAAAAAATAACATTCGTAGGTAAAATAGGTTGATCAAATTAAAAAAAAATCATGAGTATAACTTTTCATCTTTCTATATTTGCTTTACTAGTAACACAGATTACTGATGTTTGTTGTTTAATTTATCCAGCGCTTATTATCCAAACAAACATTGACCACTTTTAAAAATATTTAAAACTCGTTTTATCTATGTTTAGTTGTTGATAGAGACATTTGAAACCTGACGATTTTGGCTAGAAGTAAGTATATGAAAAGTTTGTTACTTTTTACGTTCAAAAAATTGATTCTTATCATTTTATTCACAGTGCCTTGATGATATAGCCGAAAACGTCACAGTTAGGCATTATTCACTCATATTATTACTACATAGATGATCTGGAGGAAATGGGTTTTGAAACCGAGATGTCTTACCTTCAACGCCAAGATTGCAAAGATAAATGCTTTAACTGATAGGACATTCGTTCAGCTTCTCTCAGAAGTGCTGGTTGTATTGATTGTCATCCATCGCCTTTCAACCGTTTCCAGAGCGGACTTTTTCCGGATTAGGTCTTTAGGTTTCATTGCAGTAGATAAATTAAAGGACCGGAAAGATCCCCTGCAGATCTTGTATTTCTCAATCCTTATATATGTAAAGGTAGTGAATTCACTAAGATATAAGTTTGAAAGCTGAATGAAAGATGCGGTAATGAATTCGAAAGTCTTGAAGTCAAGTCAGATTCAAAAAATTATATTTTGATACCAGCGGCGTAGAGTTGAAACAATTAATCTCTACAAAAAATAGCATGGTTTCAAACTTGTCGTTGAAAAGCCGTGGCCTAATTTGTTTAAGTTCCCGAAAGTTAGCTATATTCTATAATAAAAAAGGTTTTTGCTAAAAATCGACACGTAGAATGGCCCAAGTGATGACATCGCAGATTAAAAATTTCGGGCTCAAATCTCTTTTCCTCCACCTTACCCGGAGTAGAATAAATTGGGTAACCAATGCCGACCTGGAAAAATTCCGGTCCTTGTAATGTAAATAAGTAGTGGATTCTTACACATCCTTGTACAGAGCTTTGTTTGGATCGAAAAGCACGTATGATATGAATGCCTCCATAGCGTCTCTGGAATTCTTTAAAAGTTTACTAATGTTCCAGTTTTCTTGCTTATCTAGCAATTTAGGCAAATAATATTATATAATTTTGTAAAATTAACTGAGAACATAAAAATAACAACACTTATTGCAACGACATTACATTAGATATATATACAGACATTTGTGGAAACTTGCAGTTAAATATTTGTTTAATAAACTGAGCTTTTTTGTTATAAATTAAAATTTAAAAGATCTCTACTTAAAATCAATAGTTTGTTAAACAATGGCTAGTACTTACTACTTTTATGCTGTGATTGCACTGATGCTTTTTACTTCGATATTCTCTGTGCAAGTTGAAGCGAAACTTGCAAGAAAGCCCCCACAAGGCTGTAAGTACCATGTATTATATTGTCCGTTAAACATATATATTCATTCTATTACATATTTTCAGAATTCTTAAATATTTTTGTTTAAACTACGTAAATACATACGTCTGTTCAAACTACGTACTGTAAATGCTTGTATATAATTTTATTGTTTGTATTTAATATTCTGGAATTTTGGAAAATTTTCAACATCATAGATGTATAACTAACTGGCGTTTAATTTCTCTATTTTGCGGATTCACTCATAACACGGAACAATTACTGATACCATTTTCTTTGACGATTAAACTTTAAAACATATTTTTTTTAGTATCTGATGCAGATGATTGGCACAGATCCGTCTCAATTCACGGATAGTACGTATTTTTTGTTTTGTTTATTTTAGTGTTTACATATTTAGTTGATACAATAAAAATAGCATTAGTATATACATAATAAAACTTTAAAACTTGTTTTATCACAAATATTTGTCTCGAGTAAAATAAATATTTTTAATTGCAGTTAAACCTCGATTTTCGTCATGTTTTATCTTCATTCATCGTGCTATGAGTTAATAAATTAGCAGAATAATCTATATGAGATATAATGGGGGGGGGTCTGACAGATGTTTGGTCTAATATGGTACATTTGGAGCCC